CAGGGTAACTGCATGTACTCCGTACCGACCTTCAGTATCCATGAAACAATCACTTGGCAGGCAGACTCGAATTGACCGGCTAAAATCCGGTACAGTTAGCGATCGCCAACGGAATTAGTAGCCTTAAGACTACCCAATACAGCAACAACCCTGTCGTCGCACGTGAGTAACAAAACAATTCTTCCTACTACTTTCTGGTACTACTGAGGGCCGGGCGCTATGTGAGACCATGGAATAGCGCGCACGTCACCACTAGGCTACTGGTAGATTGCAATTTGCAACACCTCTTTTGGAATCGAGCCAAGAAAAAAATGAAAATGTCAGCAGATACCTGAGGGCCATCTGGCCCCATACAGATAAGACGAGCAACCCTCTCTCTCCCTCTCTCACTCCACAACGCTAGAAGAGGCTCGATCGATTGTCCATGCTATGACAGTGGACACTTGACGGGATCGCTTGAGAGGAGTCACACCCGTTAAGGAAACAGTATAGATCATCTCCAGCTAGCGGGGCGCCGTTGAGAGGCTTTGCTGCCCGCCAGGCGGTTGAGGAAATGAACAAGGCTCCCCGTGACAATAAATGATCTTAACCTGAATACATAGGGTCGCGTCAGTTCGCAAATCTGGTCCAATAGGAAGCATGACTGAAGCTGCAGATGGGATATAATTAGGAGTGTTTTGCATATGGTTTTCCCGCAGTTGGAATCTTGTTACAGCCGGGTTTCTTATTCTGACATTGCATTTGTCGACAAGTGGCCCGGGCGGCTATCTATCGGGCAAGCAAATGTCCTGGAAACCGTCGTATGGTGGTATGTGCCGCAGTACCACCAACTGAATTGAACCCTATCGCTTTCGTACGGGATGTCAATTGACAATTTCAAATGGTCAAGGTGGGTCGCCCCACTTGGTCCACGTTTAGCTTGGATGGAACTTTGGCCAGTGTGGCCCGTGGAGTACGGAATAGCCCGATCTTATAAGCCTTTTCCTCTTTAGCCTAAGGACCTTGGCTAGCTCCCTGAATTTGGCAGCCCGTCTCCAAAGTGGACCGTCGGATGGGGGGTTGCTTGTGAGGCTTTGATGAAAAGCCTGAGGAGCGACACCGGGGCTGGCTTGCTTGTTGGGCTATCCTGGTAAGTCAAGTCTCTGCCCACTACTTTAGCCTGCTTAAGTCTGGAGTTGGCTCGAAAACTAGAGGGCAGCAGACCTGGCCAGAATACTTTGGGCCCTCCATGTCATAAACGAGCCCCCCAATCATGAGGCTCAGACACCCAACAACTTCCCCAAATTTGTGCAGTGATGGTGTTCGACCTTCAGGCTCTGCATGATGTTCTTTCTCCTTATCAACAATATCCACCCTCATTATCGTAAACCCCATACTGCCTTGCCTCTAATAGATACTGAGACAGACACCCCTGCGCAATACTCGCACGTCACCTCCACCATGTCAGCAAATTAATATAATACTAGTAATAGTAGCACTGCAGCAGGGGTAAGAGAACGGTCTAGGGGAAGGAATAGCCATGTGGTTGGCGGTCTTAGCTTGCCAACCTCTTGATGATACCATCTGTTTGGGCAGTATAATGGGGAGTAGTATAGGTGGGAAACAAGTAAGTAGCTACAACACATCTACTACACTACACCACACCGGACCACAACGGCCATCATCCGAACCCATCAGCATTCCACAATGCAATGTATGACTCGTATCTTCATAGCTGACGGGATCGACTGGGATCGAATCCTGAGCCATGTGCACAGGGTATTGTTGCCCAGGAGTGGGGTACCCCTTTCTTTTCCCCCTCTTTTCTCCATATCCGTCTCCGTGATCCCGTCCGTCTCCTTCCTCCTTCGCACGAGTATGAAGAGTCCGGTTCCGCTAATTAATTTGTTTTTCTCGTGAGGGAGTGTGCCTCTGGCAGAGTTACCCGAGAAGCCTAACTTTCCCTTTTCTGATTTTCTCGTGCCGGCCGGGACTGGAGATCGGGAAAACCATGGCTCAGCTTATGCAAGTGGAGTCTGGTAGTAGAAAAACCAACAACAAACGGAGCCGTTGTAGTATGAGTACTCAGTTGGTCAGTCAGTTAGACTTGAATTAGACGAACGAGGTAGGTTAGATGTTTTCATTTTTCATTGGTAATTTTTTTTTTTTTTTTCCCTTTTCGTCCTATTTCCCTGCCGAGAAAATTCGACGATACAGGGCGGGTTCTTCTTCAACCCCAATCTGCAGTGTGCCTCAGCCGCAACACCACCAGGACTTGCTAGTCAAGTTGTCGCTTGAAGGGGAAAGGGATGTTGGCCTTATGGCGGCTGTCATTTGCCCGTTCGCCCAACGGGCCCCATAGTAACGATGGATTTAACCAAGCCTAAAGAGGGAAACCCATCGTTCCTGCCAAGTGAGTATGACAAAAACGCCCTGCCGCTTTTTCTCTCTTTACTTTTCTTCCTATTTGGTCTTGTCTGACTGTTTATTTTATTTCATCTTATTTTCTTTCCCTACCGGATCAATTAAATTGAACTGAAAAATCCTGATCGGGAAAGAGATGACAGGAATGGATCCATTCCACTTTCTGATTCCCACTTTTTGTAAAGACACACTGGCAGCGTCGGTTAGCCTCGCTGGGGAGAGCGGATTCACGGTTCCGTCTCCATCTGACCTGGTGGAAGTCAAAGTAGTAGTCTAAGTCTAACATAGCCATGGTAGCAGGGCTAGTCCTGAGTGGTTGCTTGCTGTGATCACCCTACAAACTGATCATCAAACTGCAGTGCACTGGCTCTCTCGCTTACCTGCTTTAGGTACATTTTTTTTTCTCTCCCTCCCTCCCTTGGTGCAGAGCCTGAAGGAGATTGGACGATAATCGCATTGTCGTATTTATTTTTATCTCTGATTATTCTTAATATTATTATTGCTGTTATTATTATTATCTGCACGATTTATTCTCATGATTTTTTCATATTACCATAATATTACATTTAATTCTCCAATTTATTCTATTTACTATTTCGTTACTATGCTTCCAAATCATTTCCCACCTTCGCTTTCCCCGGCGATCGCTCGGGAAGGACTAAAAAATACCAAGTTAAGTAATTAAGTAGTAGTTAGTGGTTCAACCCAGGTCTAGCCTCATCCAGTGGTGCTTCTATATCACTTTTGCTTTGCTCCCTCCAATCTATCCACCCTGACAGCCTCTCCGCCACCATTCCGCCCGTTTCAGATCGTCACTTTACTTCTTCTTTTTATTTTTTACCCCATCCTAATCTCACTGCCCCAATCCGGCCTGCAGATGCGAGGCATTTTCCCTGCCTCATCCGTTCTGATCTCACCCTGGTCTGTTCCCCAATTCTGTTAGTATAGCTGCATCACAGCCCACCTCCCACTCTAACCCCCAATCTCCACACTTACCACATGTCTATCCCGTTCCTGACAAGTTCTGGGTCTGTTACAGAATGATCAGGGGATAGCCTCCTTCAGGAACCAAATCCTATATCAATCGCTCACTCGCCAATCTGAATCCTGTCTATCTTCACTCCATCACAACCAACTCTATAAGATCAAAGCCTCTTCCTGCCTCTTCATCCTTCAGACTCCAACAACTCAAACCTCAAACAACTACAACTACTCTCAACCCTACTCCTGCTACTACAACATCGGATACCTTCTACAACACCTTCAGATACACCAAGCAGGCAGACAAACTTGAACAATGCGTCGAAGCACTACTCAGTCGGAGATCCCTCTCCCTATCACCTACACTCCAACTACGCATCGCATCAGCAAAGCGAAGAAGGGAAAGCGTGTGCATGCTTGCGAATACCCCGGCTGCAACAAGGTTGGTACCACGAGGATGCTGTCGCACAGACTTGGAAACAAGCTGACCCTTCAATTCAGGTCTTCACCAGAGCCGAGCACCGAAGGTAAGCCGTTGCACTTGTGCCGCAATAATCTTGCTTTAATGGTATGCTAACCAAATCTTACAGACGCCATGAGCTGAACCACAACCCTGAAGCCCTATTCCGCTGTACCCACAGCCATTGCAAAAAGGCATTCCACCGCCCTGACCTTCTCGCCCGCCACATGGAAAGACAGTAAGTACTTCCTGCCACAAAGGCTTGCTTGTCACCTTTACTGACTGTTACCTCCAGCGAATTGGAAGCACAGATGGACAGGACTGCCCAATGGCACCAGCAGAGCCGGACTCCCATCATCTCTGAGCCTTATGTCCCTGCCACCACGTCTATGCCCTCAACTCAAACACCGTACCTGGCCGTCACCCAACCGCACAATGCCATGTCGGTTGGTGCCCTCGTGGCGCCTGCCATCCACCCTGACCTCTCCAATGACTGCGGCTTGATGTGGAATAGTGTCGAAATTACATCTGGACACCAGACTCCTTTGTACCAAGGCCCCCATCAGATTCACGAGTCCGTAGAAGACAGTCGGTACTACGCTACCCCGGAAACGTGCCCGTCTCCTCTCTCGGATGGCACTTCCCTATCAGTGCACTCTCACTCCCGTTCGTCTGTCGTCTCCACACCGGTTACGGTCGCTGAGCCGTATCCCGAGAGCCTCATGGAACCCGACCTGACTTCCTCGCCAATGTCCATGCAGTCGAATATGCGCTGCTGGGAACAGCCAGACACCAGCCTTCCGTCCCTAAGCATGATGCCCCTTCCTCTCACCGAAAGCCTCCTTCATCCGGTATGTCAATCAGAGAGGTATCCACCAGGAAACCATCGCTAATTACCCATTGCAGTCTATCCACTGCCACTATCCATCGCCCAGCTGGTCAGCGAGCCCAAGCCTGACCTACGAGGAACACGCCCTCCCTCCCTCCTCGTACCCACCCGCAATGAACTGGAAGTCATGGGCGATATGAGCAATAAAAAAGCCAACAGGCGGTGATAATTTTCATCTATTCACCACCGACGACAGGCCGGTGCCTAATAAGGGCTTATGAGCCATGTTCCAATACGACTGATACGCTAATACTCGCTCCCGTTTGGACGACACGCAGTGATATGTATGCATATCTCTGGTACTTCTAATCTGTGCGGACCGAGAATAATGCGACTGCACGAGAAGAAGAGAACCACGCAGCATCACCGTCAAGCCGGTCTCGCACCGTTCAAATGAACTATAATACGACATTAATGCCGCCACGCATTGACGTTGGCATTACCAGGCCCATGAGGCCACGGGAACGAGCCACCAAAGAAAAGGGTGGCCTCATCCCATTATTGATCTGTGTATCCATCCTTGTTATCATTTCCTTTGTCTATCTGCACATATTTCCTTTGTTCTGGAGAAAAAAGCCCTGGTCTGCGATTTGGCTACCCGGCTACTGGATGGCGTCCATTTGGGATCTTTATGATTGATTATATACCCATGCTGTGTGGCTTTCTTATTTCGCAACGTGCACTGATTGTCCATATGTCATGTTATACTTATTGAGTTATGCTAGCTTGATAGTTTCTTTTTTTTGTTGTGCCTTGATGTTTTATCTGAGCCAATGATGTTTTCTATATTATTTTTTTGTTCTTTCCTATGCAACCCTGTACAATGTGCTGCTCTTTTCCTTATAGAATACTTTTTTTGTATACTAGTATAGACTTCACTTCTTGCTGCAAGACCTATCTATTTCACACCTTACTTCCGATAATCTTTCTCATAATTTTCCTGATAATTCATCTGTTAGTTCGTCTGATATTGTTCCTCATGATTTATTCTGGTTAGGTAACTTGGTTTGAAGAACTGGATCTTGGTTTCAGAAGACTCTGAATTGCTGGTAAGCCTTTTACTGTGTAGTACATGAGGTTCTTGACAATAACACTGGCAAAGATACTCTGCTCGAAATAATCTGGGAGATGCTGATATTCATGATTCCAGGAATGATCCAATGTTGACTGCTGCTAGACATAATGATCAAGCCATCAAATTACCTGGGTTTATCTCGCTAGATGAGACTGCATCTCAGCCAGAAACCTCTGAAATATCCAGGATACCAAGTCGCGTTCACATTCTATCTTCGCCTACCAGCAAGTACGCTACATAAGCCCTTGGCAATTACTTCATCTATCTAACGATCGTAAAGTCATTTGACACTCCACAGCTCATCTTCGGCCGGAATGACTCTCCAACACCATCCGCACCAGCTTCTATGCTGTCCCCGCTCCTCTCTAGTAAGATACTCGCCTGTTTCACGCTCATCTTCATGCTCTACTACGCAAGCACCCACCGTGACTCGTTTTTTCGCCTTGTGTTTGACGCGGCCTCCGATGCCGATAATCTCCTGTCGAAAGTAGCCCGGTTCTTCTTCCTCACGATGCTCCCAGCCGTCATGGGCGTGATTGTGGTGTCGTGGAGGACTCTGGCTGTGGCGATGTTCATAGTAGCGACCATAGTCAGGGGGGCTCCCTGAGGCTTCGTCCGCTTCGCATTCTACCTCTAGCTCAATTTCTTGGGCTGCGAGGCAATCTTCTCCTCTACCGCACTTGACGCCTTGGCAGCCTTCTCCAATCCCAGTGCCGAGGCCACCAAGATAGGTACTATAACGGGTGCGCCACGTCCATACCCGTCGGTAGGTGGTATCGCTGCTGCGTACTTGGTGTCCGCATTGATGACAAAGCCATATAGCATCATCGCAGGAGCAAGGCGTACGTTGGAACGCCGAGATTATGGACTGAGGAGGCTGTGAAGGCGCATGTGTGTAGATGTTCTGTGGATGAGCATGTTCGTAGGGTTGCTCGATAAGCTCATTCAGAGGGGCCGTGCGACAAGTGGTGCAGAGACGACGAATGCGGTGTCTGAGCATGTGGCTGGATGGAGGCTTGATAACGCAATTCTACATGGTACAAGTATCAGTATTGGAATGGGACGACACAGAGCTTGGTGGAGCAGACTCACCCGGCACACAACCTTGGAACATCGACGGCATTCGGCCACCATATCTCGGGCGCATTTAGAGATTTTGCCACTGGTCAGGCGTCCGGAGCTTCTGGCATTCTGGCTGAGCAAACGCATAACCGACTTGACGCTGTCGGGAATGCAAGCTCCGCTGTCCAACATGTCCGATAGTGTTTCGATATACTCATTCTCACAACGCAAGGTCTGCTTAACCAGCTGCGGGCGATAGGGAGACAGGTTGGCGTGGAATTGACGACATGTTCGTGAAAGGGCGTGTAGAGTATTCAAATCCACCGAGCGAGCAATTGCTTTGATAATCCTGTATCCGCAGTCAGCACACCATACCGAACCAGACACTGGAGCGGCCTGGTTCAAAGTGTCTCATACGGATAGCAGCTCAGAGCAGCTGAGAAAGCGTTCCGATTTGGATCTTGTTGTGGCGCTTTAGAGATGGGAGAAATGCTGTGTAACGGGTCTGCGGAGCGATCACTGTCCGCGGATACATCCGCTGCACGATGCGGCTCGTCCGGTTTGACAGGTAATAGTTCGGATAACCCAGGCTTTTTGGGTTCTATGTAGGGATGTAGGAAGGGATTGGAGGGACCCGAGATATGATGCGGGCTAAGCGCATCGTCGTCGAAGTCAATGAAAACCACCATCCTGTTCGAGGGAAGTATATATGGCACAGGCGGAGGGGAAAGAGATGCACAGGTTCCGAAGAGGCTTGCTAACCGGCAGCAACCTGAATGAACGAGCAGCAAGAATTGAGCACTAGAATGAGACAGGCAAGCCAGATCAGTCTAGCTGGGCCATTATAAGTATATCAAACGTCCAAAGAAGCACCAGAAGCCTGTTGAAGGCTACAGTGGGATGATACGGCAGGGAAACATCCAGCTCCGCTCCGTATTCGGCGCGGGTCCTGAAGATCAACAGCAGTGGTTCGTCTCGGCGATCGAGAACCCGTGGGCGATTTGGCTGGGTCAGATGGGGAATCCCAACGGGGAACCGAAACCTTCAGGGCGGTCCTTATATTATATTCGAGGCAGACGAGTCATATCCAACACGCCTCGTGGAAGAGATAGATCGGGAACGATGTTGGTTGCATCGATTTCTCCCAACGTCATGTCATGCTTTGTTGGGGTCACGCGTCGGCCGCCAGTCAGGTGTCACGCCTTTCCTCTTCGGGAAGGTGCATCTCTCTCTCTCTCTCTCTTTCCTCCGCTCCTCCGCATTTGCTCGGCTTCTCCCTTCTTCCACTTTCTATTGCAATATTAGACTCAATGAAGTGAATGAAGGTGGCATCATTATAGTCAGAACTCTGTAATACACATTCTATGTTCTATCAACTCAATTGGCCGTGGATGGTACCTCTACGCCTAAGGATGGACTCGAGCATCTCCCCTCTACGGCGGCCAAAAGGAGGGGCGAGACTCATCTTACCCCACCAGGCAGTTGGAGTCATTCTTTCTATCTTATCGGGGAAGTCGGGGCATTTTCCGAGGATAACTGATCGCCTCTATCGTATCCCTTAGCCGAATCCTTAGGACAAATCTACTTCTTGCCTCGTGTTTCTTCCTCCTTCTCTACTATTTGACTTTCTGCTCAAATTTCCTTCGCGAGACCCTTCCCGCATCGCAGACACACCCCGATCACGCCATCAAGATGCCATTGAACTCCAAAGCTGTCTATTCTCGGCTCAACCCCGATTTTGTCCCTTTCGCGAGCCGGAGAAGTACTGTGCATAGCACAAAAGGAATTGTAACGTGTACTCAGCCACTGGCAGCCGCCGCAGGCCACAGAATCCTGAGTGAAGGAGGCAATGCCGCCGTACGTTCTTGAGGAACCCCACCATCTTCTGAGATGTAATGCTGACTTTGGTAAAAGGATGCTGCTGTAGCTGTCGGTCAGTAGAATAAGTGACTTTTGGGAGAAGATGAAACTAAGAGAAATGTGTCTACTAGCTGCGGCATTGAATATTACAGAGCCCTCATCCACAGGCATCGGTGGAGACATGTTCTGCCTCTTCTATGATGCCAAAACGAAGAAGGTCCATTCACTGAACGGCTCTGGTCGCTATCCTGCCAATGCGACCCTCGAAAAGGTCAGGAAAGACCTGAACCTTGGTCCTGAGGAGTCTGGAAAAATACCAATGACCAGCGTCCTCGCTGTGTCTACTCCCGGTGCAGCGGCAGGGTGGGTTGATACTGTGGAAAAGTTTGGTAGTGGAAAACTTTCTCTGGAGCAGATCTTGCGTCCTGCTATCGAACTTGGTGAGGAAGGCTTTCCTGTCTCAGAGCTGGCATCTTTCTTTGTAAGCACACCATTCTCTTCGTCCGACTTGTACAACAAGCTGACTCCCTGCAGTGGCACGAAAGCGAGCATCTGATTCGCGCAGCATCGCCAAACTACCATGAGATGCTCAAAGCTGACCCGAACGCTGAAAACGGTGTTCGGAGCCCTCTCCCCGGAGAAATCCTGAAAAACCCCACACTGGCTAAGACATTCCGAGCGCTTGCCGCAGAGGGAAAGAAGGGCTTCTACGAAGGACGTGTTGCAGAAGAACTTGTCAAAGTCGTTCAGGACCTGGGAGGCTATATCACCCTGGAAGACCTGAAATTCCACGCCGAAACCGGAAGCCAGGAAACAGAAGCCATCTCCCTCAAATTCACCGGTCAGGATATTGTCGAGAAGCAGGCCGCCGGTACAACCGGCGAGGCTAACCAGGGAGTGGAGATATGGGAGCATCCACCAAACGGACAGGGCATCGTGGCTCTCATGGCCTTGGGTATCCTCGAGGAACTAGAGCGCACAGGAAAGATCCCAAAGTTCACCGAGGCACAGCACAACTCCGCCGAATATCTACACGCAATCATTGAAAGCCTTCGCATTGCATTTGCCGATGCGTCCTGGTGGGTCACCGATCCCGATGTGGAAAAGGTCCCAAGCAAGGAACTTATCTCCCGCGAATATCTCGCGGAACGTGCCAAACTCTTCAACCCTGATAAGGCGTCCGATATCCTTGACCATGGCAGTCCAGCCCACAACCACTGTGACACGGTATACTTCGCAGTTACAGACAAAGAAGGAAACGGTATCTCCTTCATCAACAGCAACTATGGTGGATTCGGAACATGCATCATACCCAAGGGATGCGGATTCACCCTCCAAAACCGGGGTGCCAACTTTTCACTGACCCCCGGACATCCGAACGTTCTGGCCCCGCGCAAGCGACCCTACCACACTATTATCCCTGCATTGATCACCAATGTGTCCGACGGATCTCTTCACTCGGTATATGGAGTGATGGGCGGCTTCATGCAACCACAAGGTCACGTCCAGGTCCTCCTTAATATGCTTGCATTCAACTACCACCCTCAAGCTGCGCTCGATTCCCCTAGAATCTGTATCTCCGCTGGGAACGCCGATGAGGGAAAGCCCATCGACAGAACAGTCTATGTGGAGGAAGGTGTCAGCGATGCTGCGGTTGAGGGCCTGAAGAAGTTGGGACATCAGGTTGAGGTTCTGACCGGATGGAAGAGAGGCATGTTTGGCCGTGGACAAATCATTCGTTGTCACTACGATGATGGGAAGCTGGTGTACAGTGCTGGTAGCGACTTGAGAGGTGATGGAATGGCGATTCCAGCCCTGTGAAGTCCTACTCCGGTAGTTCAGAACCTCCTTGTTACGAGCCAAGACGATACGTATCCTAGAATGTGCTAATGCAGCCTAGATGAATTTGATTCAGAGATATTCCACAGCGCGCTTAGAATCCCAGAAGTTGAGAGGAACAAGAGTAGAAAAAGAAAACCCCCCCGCTAATTACCATACGCTTCATCGCAGAAATAGCACTTTTCAAAGAGGGAAGAGAAGAAAACATTAGAAGTAATATATAAGTCCACGTATAGAAAAGACAGTCATATGGAATCATCACAATCATCAATTGCATGCAGCATACATCAAACGTAAGATACATGAGAATAGAACCGAAATAGGCTAAAATGCTTTCATAAAAAAGGTCACAAGCACCCCGAACCATATGCTATTCCCGCTGATGCATGCAGGCTGTGAATCTGCTGCGCAAAAATTGCAAAGCAAAATGGACAAAAGAAAACAAAGAAAATAAATAAATACATCGAGCTGACAGAGAGAGAGAAAGGTAGAAAGCGAAGGACAGCATTACCACAAGGGTAAATGAGTTTGGTTCCCATGCAAACTATCATCAGTGAGCAGCAATCGCACCCAAGAGAGTCTTCAGCTTGGAAGGTCCACTGGGTGGAGGAGACGGCTCGCGTCGATGTCTGTGATGACGATGGCGATGTTCTCCGCTACTACGGTGAGGACGACGTTGCTCGGGTTCCTCCCTTGCCCTTGCTTCCTGCTCCATCTCCATCCTCTTGCGCTCTCTGCGAGCTTCACGCCGAGCTCGAGCTTCTTCGTCGTCCTCGGGACGTGGGCGACTGGAGCGCTCACTGCTGCTCTTGCCTTCTTGCGACTGACGTTGACTCTGGTGGGAGGATGACCTTCTCTCACGATCTTTGTAGACGTTAGCGGAGGCCTTGGCAGCGTTGATCTTCAGAAGTGGGCCATTGGTGTCTGACTGACCCTCCATATACTTCAGGAAGAAGCGAGGCTTGGGTTCTGTAGATTGGGTGTGGCGCGACGACGAGCTGCTCTTGCGCTCGCGGTCTTGGCTTCCAGAGTGATCTGACCGTGGGTGTGACCTGGTGGGTGCGCTCTCTTTACCGCTCAAAGAACGTTCGGATTGTTCCAAATTCCTTGATCTTGCGCTTCGCTCAGAGCGCCTTGCGCGTTCTCGCTCCCGCTCCCGTTCAAGTTGTTCACGTTGTTCGCGCTCGCGTTCGCGCTCTCGGTGTCTGCGCTCACGCTCTTGTTGTTTGCGCTCTTGCTCTTGTTGCAGACGCTCTTGTTCTTGTTGTCTGCGCGCGCGTTCTTGCCGTCTTTGCTCGCGCTCGCGCTCACGCTCGAGCTCACGTTGGCGTTCGTACTCTCGTTCCCGTTCCCGTTTCCGCTCGTCGCGATCCCGGTCACGCTCCCGCTGCCTGTCCTTTTCCCTCTCACTTCCACGGTCCGAAGAGCGACGCTCTTTCTCGATCACCTGAATCTTTTGCTTCTGCTTCTCTTCGTGCATCTTCTTGGAGTCCTGTAAAGCTTGCGCCCATCGACCCATGATACTAATACGCTCACCCTTTCGCCTTTGTGAGCGATGACCATCAGAAGAGCTCCTAGACTCCTTCCGATCATAGTCAGCGTCGGCTGATCTTCTGTGCTTCCTCTGTGAATCTTTACGGTGGACTGCTGCGGTGACGGCGGCGGCGGCTGTGGCCCCGGCTATGGCCCCGCCTAGAATTTCTCCCCTTGAAGAACCGTTAGCTTCGGTTTCTTCTGACGGCTCTAAGCTCGGATCTGCTTCATATCCTTCGCTTTCGCCCTGTTCTTCCGGCGGGGGTGCTGCGACTTCTGATGCCTCGATAGGAACGGCCCTCTCAGCAGGCGCTATATCATCTTCTGCCGGTCCTGGTCCATTGACTGAACCCGGTTCGTCAGCAGGTGCAGGATCTTCTGCGGGTACTTCAACAGGAGCGGAGTCTTCAGTGGCAGCAGGCTCTTCAGCCGGGGCGGCGACTGCCACATCAGCCTCCTCCGCAACGGGCTCTTCTGCAGCAGCAGGTTCCTCCATGGCGGCAGGCTCCACGGCGGCAGGCTCTTCTACAGCAGCAGGCTCTTCCACAGCAGGAGTAGCTTCTTCCGCTGGAGCAGGTTCTCCAGGCTCCTCGACCGGGGCCGGCTCTTCTGCAGCAGGAATAGCCTCTTCCACAGCGGCAGGTTCCTCCACAGCAGCAGGTTCCTCCACAGCAGCAGGTTCCTCCACAGCAGCAGGTTCCTCCACAGCAGCAGGTTCCTCCACAGCAGCAGGTTCCTCCACAGCAGCAGGCTCTTCAGACGGGGCGGCGGCTTCCGCAGCAGCCTCCTCTGCAACGGGCTCTTCTACAGCAGCAGGTTCCTCCACCGCAGGTGGATCTTCTTCCGCTGGAGCAGGCTCTTCAGGCTCCTCCACCGGGGCAGGCTCTTCTACAGCAGGAATAGCCTCTTCCGCTGTAGCAGCTTCTTCGACCACAGCGGTTTCTTCAGCAGGGGTAGCTTCTTCCACTTCAGGCTCCTGCCCCGCGGCAGGCTCATCTACTGGAGCGCATTCTTCCGCTGCAGCGGGTTCGTCAACAGCTCTTTCAGCGGGAACCTCTTCCACAGATGAAGACTCTTCTGCTGGCGGTTGTGCTTCGGCGGCAGTGTTCTCCTCGGGAGCAGGTTCTTCAACCGAAGCTGGCTCTTCTTCGACCGGTGCGGGCTCCTCAGCAGCGGGCTCCTCCGCGGCGGCAGGTTCCTGGACAGCGGGTTCCTCAACAGTCTCATCAACTGGGGCAGGCTCTTCGGCCGGAGCGGGCTCTTCAGTGATAGGCTCCTCGGCGGCGGGTTCCTCGGTGGCGGGCACCTCGACAGCTTCTTCGATGGGTGCAGGATCCTCAGCCGGTACTGATTCTTCAACGGCAGCCTCAGCTTCAGGTTCATCGGCAGCAGCAGGTTCCTCAATCGCGGGCTCCTCAGCGACAGGCTCCTCAGCAGCAACTTCCTCTTCAGCAGCCTCCTCTACTGGAGCAGACTCTTTAACTGGGGAAGTCTCCTCAGGCGCAGGTTCAGGAGGTGTCTCATCTGGGGCTGGAGGTTCTTCAGCTGCAGGTTCTTCAGCGATAGGTTCTTCTGCAGGAGCGGATTCTTCGGGCACCGCTTCTGTGGCCGGCTCTTCGGCGGGAGCTTCTTCAGGAACTTCACCGACACGCTCTTCTGCTGGCACTTCCTCAGTCGATGGTGTCTCTTCAGGGGCCGCTTCTTCTGTTACTTGCTCGGGTTCTTCGACATGAACTGGCTCTTCTGTTGGTGCATCTTCAGCGGCGAGATCAGCAGGAGACTCTTCAGATTCCGGTGCGGCACCCTCGGCATCTTCGTTCGGAGTCGCTTCTTCGACTGCGGCCTCAGCGGCCGGGACTTCCTCTGCTACGGCCTCCGCGGGAGGCTCCTCTGCAACTACTTCCTCGGTCGGCTTTTCGTCAGCTGGCTCTTGAGCATCTACCGGTTCATCCTCGCTTGCTGGTTCCGGAGTAGTCTCCGCTGCCGCTGGAGTTTCATTGGTAGGCTCTTCGACTGACTCCGAAGTCGTGGCTTCCTCAGGAGGTACCCCCTCGTTTGCTGGCTCCTCCGCGGCGGGTTCGGATGCAGGTTCTGCTGCTTCTGTAGATTCCTCAGCCGGTACGTCTGCTGTATCATCCGCGGTGGGCTCTTCAGCCGGAGGTTCTTCTGCAACACTCTCTCCGGCGGGTTCTTCCACGACAGCGGCTTCCTCAGCAGGTGTCTCGGCGGGTGTCTCGGTAGGTGTCTCAGCAGAGTCTTCTTCAGCGACAGGTGATTCGGTAGATTCTTCGGCTGGCGCTTCGCCGGAGTCAACTTCTGCTGAGGCCTCATCGGTTATTTCAGGCTGTATGGACTCTTCAGGTGACTCTTCGGGGGGAGCGGCCGGTTCTTCCGGTGCCTCTTCAGTTGCATTTGCTGGCTCTGCTTCGGGTTCAACGTTGGCATTATCCGCCGCTAAATCTTCTGTCGGCTCTGGAGTTCCCTCGTCTGCTGGCGCTTCATCCGCAGTTTCTGTGGTGTCGGGACTAGGTTGTTCCTCTGGAGTTTGATTCTCCTGTCCTTCTAGGGCGACAGGGGTTTCCGTGGATTCTGGCGCAGGCTCGGGTTGTCCTTCAGCCTCATGCTCTTGAGCCTCCTCCGTGTCTGCAGCCGGTTCTTCGGGCGATGCATCGCTGCTGTTGGCTTCGTTGCCCTCGTCGTTGCTAGGAAGCTCAGCAGGGGGCTCAGCCTCGCCCTCTTGACTCTCTGCCGGTGGCTGTTCTGTTGCGTTCTCCCCGTCCTTATCAACGTCGTTCAAGTCGGCCGTCGTTGCTTCCGCTGGCGTTTCCTCATCCCCGGATTTAACGTCTTCAGCCGCTTGTTGTTCGGCTTCTCCTTTTTCGGCTTCGACATTGTCATGTTCTGCAGTAGGATCACATTCTATAAAGTCATCCTCTATGTGTAAGGTCAGCTGACTTTGGAAACTGAGATCAACATCAGGCATACCATTGCTGGGGGCTTCTGTGTTCTCCTCGGGCGGTGTATCATTTACATCTGCCGGCCCAGCGTCTGCTTCGACTGGTTCCGGCTCTATGTCCTTTGGTGCATCTTCAAGAGGTTGATCGCTGGGGGGACTATTTTCCGGCGGTGGGGTGGACTCGTCTGCTTCTGGAGCGGGACTCTCGCCTTCCTCTTTTGTTTCAGCAGTCGTATCGTTGGTATCTTCAGCCTCTGTTGGCGGCGTTGTTGCTTCGGTGGCACCTGATGAAGCTTAGTACAAGGAAGCAAGAGATAAAAACAATCACGTGAGGTGACATTATAACAAGTGTCTCAGGCCAGAAGGTAGTATCATCACAGGCAGGTACAACATACCTTCAGACTCGGGAGACGTTGAGCCACCATCAGCAGGGGCACTATCGGATCCTTCTGTAGGGGTAGTCTCGGCGGCCGGGGCATTATCTGGTTCGACGGGGTTGTTGTTATTGTCCTGATCCTTAGGCGGCGTCAGATGATCCGTAGATGCAGTATTGACAGGGTAATATGAAAAGCTAAAAGTTTGACGGTCGAAGGTCTGATAGTGACGCTCGAAAGTCTGGTACTCAAACTTGGGAAGTTGTGCATACTGGACCGGGCGTTGCTCCATTTTCTCCGACATCAACGGGTGCCTCTGGGGTGGGATCGGGAGAGGGGGTTTGCTCTTTGGACAGTTGATTGTCGTTTACGGGGAGCCTTTGCTTATTATTATTGTTGTTGTTGTTCTTCTTTTTCTTGTTGTTTCCTTTTTTACCCATGGCATCGGATCAGTGGCGTTTCTTGGGTCTCTGATGACCTCTTTGTGAAACGGGAGTAACAAGCGGATATAAATCTATTGAAGGAAATATGACATATGCCTGTCGAATGTCTAGACAAGGCGCAGAAGACAGGGGGGAAGGCGAATGAAGAAAACCCAAAAATAGGGGCAACGCAAGAAAAAGGAACGCGAAACGAGGGGTGCTGTGTAATTGCTGGGTTAAGCAAACGCTGGGGTATGAGAGGTTGGAAGCGCAAAGGGCAAAAAGGGCATAGGCCCGATGGTCCGCCAACAACATTGTGGTTCCTTTTCGAGGACGAAGACGAGGCGACGTATAGTAGTGCATTCGCTATCCAGTGCAATGGGTCACTGTCCAGGAATGGCTCGGGCTTGGGGCTGGGGACGTCATGAACGAACTGCCCGACGGCATCTCGTATCATTGGGCCACGTCTCACGGGCCCCATGGCCCTCCCGGACGGACATAGAAAGAGGGTCCTCTTCCGGAAGCATCACTGGGGCAAGGGGATAACCGGCGGAGCACCATCTGCAGCAGAAGCATGCAGTCGCAACTAGCAAGCAGGTGGTGGCGGGGAGTGGATGGGCAATTGTGGTCCAGATAGGATAGCAACACCACAGGGAATTGGGTGCTCCGTTAGGGTGTGTCATTAGTGTGGTGGGGGTGGTGCCACAGCTCCATCAAAAGTGTTTCCGTAATTTAAATTTTTTTTTTCTCCATCTGGTGTCAATTCCTTTTGTTTATTTGGCCTCTTGCGGGCAGAAGTATTGCATAGATAGTTCAAAAGTATCGTGGTTAGCCAATGCCCTGCAAGTACTTTGTACGGGATTGTAAACCCAGTGGGAGAGGAAAAAGCAATCGGAGGGTCGATAGAGACCTGCGCCTTGAGCATGCAAGGTCAAATGATTGATCTTAGGCCCAATGAGTGAGCATTCTAATACAGCCAACCATGCCGGCATCCGGGGCAATGAAAGGGGAGAAAAAAAAAAAAAAAAAAGAAGCCATCGAAAGTGAAAAGGGCGCTGCCCATGGTTACTCCGACCTGTCGAGTGTACCTCATCAACATAGCCGGAGCACCAGTATCATAATCATTCATGCCCAACGGCTGGTGCAGCAATAGTAGTAAATTAGACGCATGGCACGTGAGTAGCGAGACTGGGTCCCTGGCCAGGGAAGAAAAAAAAGCTAGGAGTGGTTGGGTGTAACTAGGGTGCGAATGTTATGGCCATGGATAGGGATTACTGTTGTGACTGTGCACCGTTCGGTGGGTATAGGCGATCAATCATCGACAACAGCATCACTCCCCATCACCGAGATGACAGGGGGGAGGGTGAGGGAAAGATGTTCGCGAGAGGGGGGCGATGAAGATCTCCAGAAACCTGGTCAATTCGTACTTCTGGTACTGATGAAGAATCATCGAAGCCAAAACGAAGCAAGCCAGAAGAATCAATGGAAAAACAGACGCCTGGCAGAATGGTGAGGAAAGGAAAGGAGAGGGAGGGGAGGAGGGAAAGTGAAGCCGGATTCGAAACTCCACCGGACAATTCAGCAGCCGCAGATCACTGGACCGCCCAACCAGGAATAGTGGGAATTTCTTTCGATCGGGTTTCAACTTGAATCATTTCAAGTGCCTTGACTATTCATGATCTCATTCATGAAGAGGTCAATTCGTCTCAGGCACCATGAAGATGGGAAGTAAAGAAATTGTCCATCGTGTCTCCAATCCTGATGACTTTTTCCCGATCCACGATGGGAAGATCTGTCATCCCAAATCCGCATCGCGATTACTTCCGAGGAATAATCGAGAGATTGAATCAATAATTCCGAGGAAGGTCCAGATCATGGGCGGTGGGCAAGAAAAGAAGCAGGACTCGTCGCATCCACCGATAAGTGAGGCGCATTGCTGTTCTGGCAGCCGGTGAGTGGCTACCAGTGCACGCCCCCCATCCAGGCCCGTTGAAGGAGGCGTCATTAGTGATTAGATGGATGGAAATGGCTGCAAGCTACGGAGCACACTAAATAGTGATGCTAACTAACCCCATTCCTCCGAGACCCTCCATTGCTCCCTTGGCTACCTGCCCATCAGGCAAGCTGCCCAGCATTGCAGCTCGCGCAGACAGTGTTGTGTTTTGATGGGCTCCCCCGCTCGGGTCTATACAAACCCCAATTCCCAATCATCCCCAATCAGCCAGCACCGATGTCTTCTCCCTCTGGCACAAACACCCTCCACGTCAACAACCCCTCATCTATCTATTGCCATCGCAACTGCCTTAACCCATCATCTCAGATACTCAGCATACTCAGCCAGATACCCGAGATCGTTATGTGCGTGTCATTTATTTTACTAGATTGTTCTATTGCCAGCACAGCATGAATCTGTCAGGTTCAGGTCGAGATCGCCCGCAGATCTGACTTAAGTACGTATAGTAAGGTACTCAGTATAGACTACTATCTACACGTAGCAGACGGGCGCCCAAAGAATTGATGGTCACACAATAGCAGATGCTAGGTCCGACAGAATGACATTCTCTCTCTATGCAAGTTTAACAATTTTGCCATCATGGGGTGCTTTCTTCTTGTCTCCGGCAATCCATTTGCTGACCACCACCGAAACCCTAGTCGATACTTTCGGTGTCATCCCACGCTGGAACATGCAACGGGCCGGATATGGCTGCCTCCCCGCTGGAATTTCACCACCATCCCTGGCCCATAGCCTCGATGTTTAATCCATCCATCTGGTGGTACCGCTTATGCACGCTTCCGCTTCGTCCCGGCGGTACGAATTGCTGGTCCATTCCATCCGCTAATCCCCCACCTGTGGCCCCGTCAGGTGAAATTGCCGTCAAAACCATACGCGTACTTTGTGCTTGAGCGCTTACCTGGTCAGCCTGTGCTGTCAAAGTTCTGGCTGCCAATCACCGTGTAAGATGCTAGAGTAGGATCACCAGAAGCGTGAGAGCTATCAGAATCTACTACACTCGCCTTGGTCTGCGCATGCTTGGGTAACCACTGTTGGCAGTGACATTGACACTGGGACCTATTATGAAACAATGCACGGGCTCAGAATCGACACTACCCCAAATTCATCCAATGAATTATTGACTTGGTTATTCTATTGATCTGGTCCTCCACGCTCTATTGTCCTTCGAACCAGGCGATAGCTGTCGTTCGCCACAGCCTAGCAGGAGGCATCTGGCCTCACTTGGGCTTCATCATGTCTAAAAATAAATATCATGCAGTTTTGGGTATCCTCAAGACGTAACTGTTCTCTGGCGAATTCGAGGCCACTTCCACCTGTCATAACGACGCGGACTTGACTCCTAGTACCACCAGGCGTGATACTTCGAGAAAGAAAAGAAACCCGACAGATACCCCGAGACAGAAAGCCAAGGAAATACTCTATGCAACCGTCTATTATGATCTTGACAAAACACGACACTTACCAACAGGGTCTAGACCCAAGTAACAGTGTTTGGCACCCAACGCAGCCTACCAATGACCGAGACTGGTCATAAAGGACGTCATGTTCTCAGAGCATCCATCGATTTCCTCCACCGAGGCCCGTAAACTTTCATCACGAAGAGGACGGAGCTGCTTGCAAACGCGACCAGTCCGAGAATGGTGAACAGCCATCCATTGCCAATGGCATCGATGATTGGGGCGGTGACAACTGAGCCCACGCAGGAGAAGATATTTCGCATAAAATTGTTCAGTGCAACACCTGCAGAGGATTTCTTGGGCATGAACTCTGTCAGCATGGTCGTTGCCATGCCGAAAATGAGCATCGATCCAACGCCGAAGAAGAAATTGGCAATCATCTACACAAACTTGTCAGTAAGATGCCATGAAGTGCATGAAGCAGAGGGGATAAGCATCAGCAGATGTGTGAAACCCTTTGTGTCAGACATCCAAGAACATACCGGTGCTAGCCAAAACACGCCTCGATCCGCGCACCATCCATACCAGATCAGTCCAGCAGGGTAGAGCATGGCGCCAAGTCAGGCATTCTCATGCATCCGGTCTTCGGGACGATAGATCAAGTTTCCATGTTCGTCGTATCTTTTGGCTCTCTTTGCCTCCCGTTGCATAATGCTATCCATCCAACGGCCTCCAAAGGTGCTAGCAACAACATATCCGAGCGAGTTTGGTATATAAAGCAGGCCAACGATGATTGTGCTGAAGTTATATGGACTAGCGCTGAATGTATGCTCAACACTGACATTTAGCACATAAAGAGATCCAAAAGTGATACTTGCGTAGTATACAGTTAGTAGAACGGGAGGATAGCGCAGGTAAAGAATGATCTTCAAAGGGTCGAGAAACACCATCTTGAGGACCTTCAACCACCTAGTGGTGAACTGAACGACTTGTCGAGAGGATACTCGACTCACTTGACGCCTAATAGTTTCCTCTTGCTCGATAGTCGCCTCCTGTGTCTGGAGTTTCGTGTTTGCCAGTGTTTCTGGAAGGGCAAAAAAAATGAAAACCACGGTGAGCCCTCCATAGGCGGCCAGAAACCAAAGCGTACTTCGCCATCCCCAGCGTTCAGCTAAAGCACCTCCTACAATTGGGGCTATCAGAGGTCCACATAGCGGACCGAGATAGAAGATATTCATAGCACGTCCCCTTTCTTGGGGGTCCCAAAGGTCCGCAATGGTTCCTGCACCAACAGCCTGAACTGATGCAGATGCACCACCACTCAACATTCGCAGTACAATAAGCATAGCTATTGAACTAGAGATGGCACAGAGAGAGTTGAAAACAACGAAGAGGCTGAAGGAAACGAGGTATATCGTTCGTCGTCCCAATCTTTCGCTAAAAGATGACCACCACAGTGGGAAGATCGACATACTAAGCATGTATAGGGAGATTGATAAATTCGTTATGGTTGTTGAGGTTCCCAGTTCCATTGATACTTGGGAAAGGGAGGCTGGCATTCATGTAAGGACACAACCAAATGGAGCCAGAAATGGAGAGATGGACGACTTACGAAAGAAGATTGAGCTACCCATTGGAGCTGCAGCTCCTGCCACTGCTACCACGAACGTGATAAACCACTTCGTCTTCCGCGGATATACCTTGGGGTTCTCAACTTCAGCCAGCAACGAGAGCTGACCGAAAAGCCCCCTTCGTTTCAATCTAGGTACCACTATCGGACCCTCTTTCTCTTCATCTGAAAAGGTAGTGCGAACATGTGATTCCTCATCTTTGCCTTCTATCACGGGAGAGTCGTCAGAGCCTTGAGATATGGAGTCAGGGTCGCGCTTCTCGTCAATCATCTCATCATTAGATCGTATTGCATTAGGGTGAGTATGACCAGCTGGGGAAGTCTGCACCAAGTCGGCATCAGGGATACCATTTGTTGCTGTCGCCATCTTCCTTTCCGTACTGCTTTTCCATATGAGAGGCTAATAGTCCAAGCAGCACGATAGGGCTCGTTTCACAAAGAACACACTAAGAGGTCGGGATAGACTAGAATATCATGCATGTGTGAAAGTGAGAGTAGCATGCGCTAACTAGTAGCCTTGCCGGCGGGGCTAGTGACAAACTGTTAAGACGAGATATAAAGGTTGAGTAACATTATAGACTGTCAATAAGTCGTAAGTATAGACGTGAATAGTGGTGAGAGAGAGAGTGGAAGACGAGCTGGTCGGCCAGATAAAACAGTTGGAAACGATCAAATTTGGAGTAAGAAAGAAGAGGAGGAAGACTGGGGTGCGTCTTTGCTCATGAGTTAGTTTGTATCAGCCGGGGTTGGTTCGTCCTAATCGGGCAGGAAACTGTATGTGCCTTCCCCACTTGCTCTGGTTGCACCTGCCATTGGATCTCAACAATCCAGGATTCCTTGATAGATCGATTCTGCTTACAAAGGATATAGTAGATCCTGCACGGGCTGCAGGCTCGATTTCCCAGTTTCTTATCTCTTCACTACACCTTCCTTTCTTTATTCTAGAAACGTATCTCTAGCCGAGATTCAACATCCCGAGAATCCAGAGAATGACACCATCTAGCTGAAACTGACAAGCAGCATGTAGTACACCGCTACACACGCAAGGCGCCAGTATGCATACCGCAGTCAACCCCTTTTGGTTGCAAAATACTGTCTGACATCTGTGTAGTTTGCTCCATAATTAATGACCAGGTACCCCGTCAGTGTGCTAAGCCCATGAATCAAGCAGCATCTAACCCTCCCTCCATACTCTAGGGGGCAAAGCCAAATTCAGGGCCAGCCAGTCAGAGACCAACCAACTGGTGCCGTCCCATCCGATGGCGGTCATTTCCGCCCCCTGATTTGGCACTAATTGGTGCTTTGCCGAGGTCAAGCCTCGCTAGATAGCCGGACGTTAAATGTCCCGCTCGGTAGTGGGGACTCATAGCATGAGGAACAGGAAGGGAAACAGTATGAACATCCGAATTGCACATGGTACACAGTATCACAGGTGCTCAGACTTTGAGGCTCGAGAGTATAACCGTAAGTAAATGATAATTGACATCAATGATGTGATGGAGCTAGATTGCTCCTTGATAAGGGCTCTCGGGGTCCTCTATCTGGTATTGATCGTCATGTCGGGGAGAAGTAAAGCACCCGTGACACTATTCCAGCGCAATACTTTCGCAATATCCTCTCTTGCAGTCAGATATCGATTGCTTCCTTCAGATTCACGTTGCTCCGACTATCGCTCTATGGACCGTCTTTCCTGATGACAAACTAAGCATGTCAAAGGGTATTACTATGAGATCTAGGAAACCCCCCTTTTTCGGGAAACCCCCAAGCAGCAACGATGTCACTCAAGCAGCCTGAACAGTACAATGAACGTAGCTATCCATGTTGACAGTACATCTGCAACATCCAAGTCTATCTCCAAGCAACAGCCATCTATGGACGACAAAACCCTCCCTCCAGCCCAGTGGATACACTCCAGCACGACCCGCCGGCTCACTCATTTGCCCCACGTCCGAGCCAGAAAGCCAACCAACCTCATAGACAGTTCCAGAAATACGAACCCAACTAGAATGACAACATAACTCACCACCTACTTACCTCGTACATCCAAAGTACCTACCAGTACCTATCTTCATACCTAGCATCCATCATCAATCCACCATGGCCGACCAACCCACCCTGACAGCAGCCCAACAATCCGTCCACAACACGCTCGCCAAATACCCCGGCGAGAAATACGTCGACGGCTGGGCCGAAATCTGGAACGCAAACCCCACTCCTCCTTGGGACAAGGGCGCCCCGAATCCAGCTTTAGAAGATACCCTGACGCAGCGTCAAGGTACAATTGGCAATGCCATCGCCACGGACGCGCAGGGGAAGAAGTACCGCAAGAAAGCGCTAGTCCCGGGCTGTGGGAGGGGAGTGGATGTGCTTCTGTTGGCGAGTTTCGGGTATGATGCGTATGGGTTGGAGTATAGTGCTGCGGCGGTTGAGGCGTGTAGGCGGGAGGAGAAGGAGAGTACTACTAGTGCTAAGTATCCCGTTAGAGATGAGGAGGTTGGTAGGGGAAAGGTGGTGTTCGTGCAGGGAGATTTCTTCAAGGATGATTGGTTGGAGGGGTTGGGACTGGGGTTGAATTCTTTTGATTTGATTTATGATTATACGGTGAGTTTTATGATGTCGCTAGAGGGAGGCGACGGTCTACGGGTGGTTCTCTAGATGAATGATTACTGATTTCGTGTGTAGTTCTTTTGCGCGTTGAGCCCGTCCATGCGACCTGACTGGGCGCTCCGGCATACTCAGCTATTAGCCCCTTCGCCACATGGGAACTTGATCTGCTTGGAATACCCAAGACACAAGGACCCATTGCTCCCGGGCCCTCCGTTTGGTCTTTCCTCGGAGGCTTACATGGAGCATCTCTGCCACCCGGGAGAGAAGGTCTCTTATGATGCCCAGGGTCGATGCAGAGGAGACCCTCTCCGTGAGCCAAGCGAGCGAGGACTGGAACGTGTGGCTTATTGGCAGCCTGCCCGAACACATGAGGTGGGCAAGGATGCCAATGGGGAGGTTCAAGACCGAGTATCGATCTGGCGCCGCCGGTAAGGCCATATCCGCGGTAGATGAAGTATCGCCGGGATGGGAGTCACTGCCTTGATTGGTCAATAGCCTAATCTTTGATTGACTTTTTTGTTTGTTTTATACGCTTCTCTATGTATGTTTGGAGAGTGCGTTGTAATGCTCCCCGAGTCCGTATGTGTGTCTGTAGTAAGCCAACCAGATGACCCGCTTGCTTCCCTCTTCGTCGCCTGGCTCTTCGACATCACCCGGTTCAATCTTTTCGATTCTCCCATCGCCTTGGATGACATTGATCTCGACGCCATATGCCCTGGCAATCGCTTGCAATTCCAGTTGTCCGCCCCATTCGGCTGTCAGTTTGACTTTCCTGGTATATTGGTCCAAAGGCTCCTCCATGAATGGTGCAAAGTCGTCCTGGTGATCGCTGATGAAATCTGCCGCCACAGCTCTAACTGCCCGATAGCCGTCATGTTTAGGCGAAGCCACGGTATCGATGCGAGACTGAGTTGGAGGCTGAAGGATCATCCTCTTCGGGTCAGGTTTCAGACCGATGCCTTGCTCGTCCAATTGGCATGCGATGGCAGAGAACAGACAGTGTCCATCCGGGTTTATGTCAACCTCCTTCAACTGTAAGCGCTTGAACACGCCCTCCATGACCTCTTTCTCATTTCCACGATGATCGGTCTGGTTTGCAGCCTCCTCCGCAGCAATCGCCGATTGCGCTGCTTGTTCCGCGGCACGACGTGCCAATCTGGCCTTCTGACGATTGGGCTTCTTGGGACGAGGACCGGAGGGCTGCGGGGTAGCGGGGGTAGAGCTTTGAGGCGATGATGTCGTTGTCTCCGACGGGGTATCTGCATTTTGCTGATCGGGCGAGTCACCAGCCTCATCAGTGTTTCGGTCCCCTTCGCTTGATTCGTTCAAACTGAGGTCTTCGATGCCATCCACAGGCTGGTCTGATTCGCCGTTTAGTTGCGCGATCTCGGCTTGTTGCCGCTCAGAGAGCTCTCTTTGGAGCCTCTCGCAATCATCGTTAACTCCTTTGCGAGTCTTCTTCGTGGCGGACTTCTTCTTCTGAGTGATTCGAGCCTGGAGATCTTTTTGTTCCTTGCGGTGTTTAGCTTGTAGCTCCTCCATCCTGGAAAACGTGGGAGCGCTGGTCCAACTGAAACTCTATGAATGATTCTAGAAGAATGTCGAGAACCAAGATGCTGAATGAACGCGAAGGGCAGCTATGCAAAAATACAAATAAGGGTATCGTGACAGAGTAGGAAGTTCAATGCTGACCATGCACGAGTGGGATGAAGCTCAGCCCCGCCAAAGCCTGTCGTGACCTTTTCTGGATCACCCGATCGGGCCCTTCGGTGTTGATGCCTAAGGCATATAATCCCCTGGTCGCTCTTCGGCTACTTTAAACAACCATCGAGAGGAGATAAGATACCGGCAATGATGAGAAGTTGCCTCAGGTGTCTCTACCAGCTTTATGATTACAGTACTCCGTACTGACTGAACTCCTGCTGGCTCTTGCCACTGACATGTCATGCAAGCCACTACTAATCACTCCAGAAACACTGCAACATTGTTCTTCCGTTCCGCCCAACCTCGGTATTTTTTGTGACACTGTAGACTGATCCCCGGTTGTTCGGGTATCCCCCATTATCCCCGGGCGGACCCCCAGGCGGTATAGGTAATATCTATAAGGGGTAGATCAGCGTCTCTGTCCAGACCTCACACGTGCGGCTGACTGAGTTTCTTGCAATCGGTCATCCATTTATTTAACTGACTTCTTCGAGCTTCTCTGGCTTTTCAGTACGATATTCACCACACACACCATCATCATGGACGTTCAAAAGTTGTTCGACGTCAAGGTGCGTACTGCGGAGATGCAGAATAGAGGACTCGGCCTGTACAGCTGAGCTGAAGATCTAACCATGCGATTAGGGCAAAGTCGTGCTGGTCACTGGTGGCGCCAAAGGAATCGGTCGGATGATCTCAGAAGGCTTCGTAAAGAATGGCGCCACTGTCTATATCTCGTCGCGCGACGCCAAGTCTTGCGATAAAGCTGTAAACGAGCTCAATGCACTTGGCACGGGCAAGGCCTATGCTATCCCTGCCGATTTCTATAAAGAAGAGGAAGTCAAGAGATTGGCTGAAGAGATTGCTAAGCGTGAGAGTAGTAAGTCTAGCCCCTAGAGTGCAGCTCCCTAGGGGATAGGGAGTGCCACGTGCTCTAGCTTAACACATTCCCAGAGCTGCATGTTCTTGTCAACAACTCGGGTTCCAACTGGGGCGCCCCGTACGACGAATACCCTTCGTCTGCCTGGACACGAGTTCTCACCCTCAATCTTCATCGTGTGTTCGACCTTACCAAGCTTCTCACCCCTCTACTGGAAAAAGCCGGCTCATCTGGCGACCCGGCTCGCATTATCAACATCGGTAGCGTTGATGGCATAAGGGTTCCGGCTCTGGAAACCTTTGCCTACAGTGCCAGTAAAGCTGGATTGCACCATTTGAGTCGTGTTTTGGCACACCACCTTGGAAGACGGAACATCACGTATGTGTAACTCCCATATGATCGCTTATCGACGGCGCTTGGGCTGACCCGGCACTACCCGCAGATCAAACTCCTTGGCCTGTGGCCCATTCGAGAGCAAGATGATGGCTGCCACCTTGGAAGCGCATCGGGAGACAATCGAGGCAAGCATTCCTTTGGGTCGTATTGGTACCCCGGAGGATGTTGCAGGTGCATGCTTGTTCTTGAGCAGCCGCGCCGGCTCGTATGTGAATGGAGCGACTATCACTCTGGACGGCGGTAGCGTAATCGCAGCGAAGCTCTGAAATGTAAGCTGTAAACAGGATGAAATGAATACTCGGGGTAATCCATGTATGCGTATGCAATGCAGAGTTGATCTAAGCCTACATACAGAAGGTCCAACCCAACTAATGAATTGTCTCATTTAAACTTTTTGATCCGTGGTAGACCTGGCAGTCCGTGCCCAAGTCATGCAAATTATAATGTTCAAAACTTAGTCCAAGCCACCCATCTTGTCTCTCCTACCATGAAGGAAGGCAATACGACCGGAGGCTGAACAACGAGCTTGACATCATCCCATGGTTGGCATATGACAAAGGAGGATGTCATGCTGAGCGGGTAACTCTCATCATTGGGAGGAACATGGCTGAAGGGATTCACTCCCTCAACAAACCTTCCACTAGTAATGCGAATGGTTGGCGTTTTGCCTGCCTTGCCTTCTGACAATCTCAATCTCATCTCCAGTGATCGTCTACTCCAGTCAGCGCACATCGAAAAAGCAACCTGGTGTTCTGCATTTTCCACGCCGAAGGTTGCTGCGGCGATCTTCGCTCGCCGTCAGCCACCTTTTCTAGTGTGCACTAAGAACCGTTGGCTCAGAAAATTCCCTCCTATATCGCAAAGGTGCATCTATACAACCTCCATCTAAGCTCTGGTGACCGATCGCGTGGGGTCGTGATTTTCTGGAACGGTATTGGTCCGGACAAATCGCTCACTCTATCAACGTGGGGCTCTATTGGCACAGAATAAAGATCTCACAGCGGGCTCTCCCAAGATCCTAGTCCCGGTAAAGAGTCAGAGATTGCTGTCGAATTTGGGTAAACTAATCTTTTCTAGTTTCGTCGCTTCAGTCATTGCATGCTGGTATCCGTGATTGGCTTGTCCCTTACCGCGCCGGAATCGTTTTATTCCCGATCTATGAGCATACCTGCCGCGACGCAGTATGTGGAAGCTGCAGGCTAATTTCATCACTCTACATTGTGCGTTGACTATCATTGCAATATTGGTGGCACAAATAGCTCATATACTGGGACAGATGCATATATTCTTTTCCTGGGACTTTTGGGATTGGTCGTTCTTTACCCCTACGGTAATCTCCGCGCCATCGATGCATACTTCTTCGGTGTAAGCTCTTCGACCGAGTCAGGGCTGAACACGTTAGTCGATCATTTCTTTATTCGTGCCACTTACCGTCGGCTCATAGGAGCATAGTCTGACGTGGATATTATTTTTTAGAGTCGACGTTAAGGACTTGAAGCTCTATCAGCAACTCTTCATCTACTTTGTTCCAATAGTCTCGAACCTCGGATTTATCAATATTCTGGTGGTGGTTGTCCGCTTGCTATGGTTCGAGAAACGCCTCAAAGAAATCGGTAGGTACTTCCACGAGCTAGTGCTAGGTTGCTCGATGTTTACTCTCACTGATGCGGTGAACTTCAACAGCACCTGGTGTCCTTGATCGAAAGAGTAACCCATCGAACTATGATTCCACTCGCTATGACCCTGAAGCGCATCCCCGGAGGCAGAGTGAGCCTACTACGTCAGAAACCGTACCAGGTGACTCAACAGAGAAGGATGTCGACGATGGCCAGCGCTCTGTTGGCTCTAAAATTGGTCATGTGGTACCCGAAAGGTGAGAACGTGGCCCGATACTTGATGTCGCTATGAATCGCATTTCTAATCGCCAAATAGGCCTAGAAGCACTGGAAGAGTACGACCTGAAAACGACAGCTCAGATCCACATCCAGCTGGTTTATCGCGGAGTATCTCCTTTGCGGACACTACCAAGGCGCTCTACATCCCTTCGCCGCAGGAGCGTGACAGAGGTACCTTAATTTCATGGCGCGTTGACGGCCAGGCAATAGCTTACAGGAAATAGGGGTGCCGATAGCAGAAGTCCAACGAGGACCGGGTAAGGACGGTAAGCCTGACTACACGCTCTGTTGCAATCGATCAGTCTGACACCAGGCAGTCATCGAAGAGGAAGATGAGGACGCTGAAACTGAGCGGAGAAACTCTGAAAATACGGATGACCTCCTTGAGAATGGTAGAAGCGCTACAAGTGGCTTGCCATTCGAGCGGGTAGCATCTTCTCTGTTCGTGATCGGGAAACAACCTAGCAGAGCCCGAGAGCCATCTCTGCGGCCGGCCATATCTCTCTCCAAGGACGCAAACCTCCCGGATCTTTCCGTACAAGCGACACTTGGAAGGAACTCGCAGTTCCACAACCTGACGGCTGCAGACCGAGAGCGACTTGGTGGCATCGAGTACCGAAGCTTAAAGCTACTCCTCAAAATCGTGATCGGTGCGTATTAACAGCTTTGTTCCCTCTTCTGTGTTCAGCAGGCTCATCTATCATCAAAAGGTTATTTTGTTGGGCTTCATGTGTTTGGTGTGGTGTGTCTTGTCCCTTGGATCTTGCATTCGAATCGCAAGTATAGGGACTACCTCGACGAATGCGGTCAAAATGAAGTCTGGTGGTAAGTCCTGGTATATATGAATCTTACAGGCAATCTGTATATTCTAATATTTATAGGGCGATTTATTCGGCTCAGACGATGACTAGCAACCTAGGACTTACACTTACTCCGGATTCCATGATATCATTCAATGATGCCGTGTTTCCTATGCTAATCATGAGTTTTCTCGCTTACGCTGGAAACACTTTATATCCTTGCTGCCTCCGACTTCTCATCTGGGGCATGTCCAAGTGTATCCCTGAGAGCTCTTCTCTTAAGGAGCCCCTGGAGTTCTTGCTGAAGTACCCTCGTCGGTGCTACTTGCTCCTCTTCCGCAGCAAGCCAACATGGATCCTTTTCGGCATAATTTTTGTGTTGAATTTTGTTGATGTCCTCTTGATCCTGGTTCTTGATCTCGACAACCCTGCGGTGAATGATCTCCCTGGCGGACCTCGTGTGGCGGCAGCTATCTTTCAGTCAGCATCTTCACGGCACACAGGGACAGCATCGTTCAACCTTGCCGACGTGAACCCGGCAGTCCAATTCAGCTTACTCGTCATGATGTACATTTCGGTGTTCCCTATCGCTATCAGTGTACGAGCCTCCAACATCTATGAAGAAAAATCAATCGGGGTATTCTCATCAGAAACCGATATGGACGAAGGTGACGGCAAGAGATACGTCTTAATGCACATGCGAAACCAACTAAGCTTCGATTTGTGGTATATTTTCCTTGGAATCATGTGCATCTGCATTGCAGAGTCGGGGAAAATAATGGACCCCACGAAGCCGGTTTGTGACATTCCTTGACCGTTGGAAGCATCGCTCTGACCTGGACAACAGGCATTCTCCGTGTTCGCGATATTTTTCGAAGTCGTCTCAGCCTAGTGAGTATAGCCACGCCATGGTTACTGCGCGTAGATGTACCTAACGTATGCACAGCGGAAACGTCGGCCTAAGTCTAGGATACCCGACCGCCTCCACCTCCTTCAGCGCTCAGTTCGATATCTTCAGTAAGATAGTCATCTGTGCCATGATGATTCGTGGACGGCACCGTGGACTGCCATATCAGCTCGACCGCGCGATCCTCATCCCCAACAACCGCCTTGTGGAGGATGATAAAGTTGAAACTCGACCAAGTATCTCCCTGCCACGCATCCGCAGTATGGATCCGACGGACAGCAGATACATGAAGATGAAGAAAGCCCATACCAGATAGCAGAAAAACTTTTGTCTTTTGGGTTTGGGCGACTCTCTTCAGGCTTTCTTGCTTTGCCGGGGGAGGTGAAAG